ATGGGGCTAGCCATCCCCATGCTTGAGGTATTCCCACCCCACCCCAGGCCAGGTGGCATTACTATGTGTGCCCTGACCATGTACATCTACTGGAAATGAATGGAGGCATAGTCATCTGGTTAGCCAGCAAAGTAAGAGTATTAGACCTCTGAACATCATGGTGATCCATGTTTTCTCTTTTGAAAGTATTTTGAGGCAGTACACTTTGAGCAGGAAAGAAATGAGTAAATCCATACACGAGGCTCATTTTTCAGTGATTTAATCCTAACATTGCTGATACCAGATTTTAAGATCATGCTATCCTTTCTTCTACTAGTGGTGGTGATTGGCTTTTACATGAACATATGGAGATGACTAATATGAAGTCATACTTGTCCATGTAACCCAGAAACATCTACTTTGACTAGTAGTAGTTCTTCAGGCAAAGAGTTTATAATTGATAATTATAGACACATGGGTTTGAAGCACAAATTGCCAATATTGTGCACTTGCAAGTATCAGATTGAAGTATGAAAGATAGATTTGTATCCATGTTCAGTGAATAAGTTCTTTTCCATGTCCTTGACACCAAATGTTTCAATCTGACCTACCTTTCAAGGAGTGCTCCCCTCTAAAAATGTGGTTCCGCAGGTGCCAGTTGAATTTCCTGGGGAAAGGCATAATGCAAACAAGGACTATGTTTGTGTTCCCATGTTTTCTGAAGCACATTTTGAAGACTGATACTGAAGTACTACATAGCTCCAGTATTCATAGTTGGAGAGGGGACAGGAGGCACAAAATACATAGTTGTGTGTTACAGGTTGGCCACGCCTGATAAAAAGTATGCAGGTTGCCTTAAACATTTGAAAATGATACAAAATAGCAGTGCTGATTATCTTGGGGACTGTGGGCTTCCCCCCCCAATATTTTCTCTCACCTTCCAGCATTCCTTCTGCTGCCCTCGACCTGCTAGACCATATGCTAACACTGGACCCCAATAAACGATGTACAGCAGAGCAAGCCTTGCAGAGTGATTTCCTGAAGGATGTTGATATCAGCAAGATGGATCCTCCAGAGTAAGTATCCCACTCTCTAAGGGAAGGAAACTTTGAGGAATGAAATACCCAGTCTTTTAGATGTGCTCTTCATATATCTATATGTGGTGGATTTGTTGGATTCACACCAAGGCAGATAAGTTAGCTTCACTCATAAAAATATATGCCTTTAGAATCACTGCCTGTACAATTAAGAAGGAAGCATGTTCATAAATGTACCAGCATGAACGAATGCAGAAGATTCAAGGAATCTTCAACCTGCATGTGACAGGGTAAAGGAACCCCACCCTTGATTTATAAGCTACTTTACATTACAGGATGTGAATATCTTAGAAGTAGCTTCAGTCCCAATGTCTGCTCTTTGTACATGCAAGGATGCTGCTGGCCATCTCCTCTATTCCTGTAATACCTGTGCATACACTACCCCCCCCCTTTTTTTTCTTGGTCAGGGGTCATATGGAATGTGTTGGGAGCACAGGTAGATGAAGCAAGAAGAGAATTGTTTGATCAAAAAAAAAAAAATAGGCATGTCCAGATTACAAACCACATTTTTCTGCAACCCTAAATTTTATTTACTGAAATGGCCCAAGATATATATCTCCTAAGCTTTGTGTAGTGCAATTCTTGCTGCCTCCGTATGCCTTTAAAACCCATTGTGAAACAAGCTTTATTCTTCGTCTGAATCATTCACTCAATGCAAATGACATGCCTTCCTTTTTTGACTTACCTAAGAGTTGCTAAAACGTGGGGAAGAAGAGAAGTTTTGTGTTGGGCTCTTGGGGTAAACGTCATCTGTGAGGAGAGAAATGCCACCAGTAATCTAATATTAGAATTTTTCTTTTGATTCTCTGCCCTTGCTATTACTGTTTCTAATGTTCATGTGTTGTCTTTCTAGCCTCCCACATTGGCAGGACTGTCATGAACTGTGGAGCAAGAAACGCCGGCGGCAACGGCAAAGTGGGATTGTGGTGGAGGAACCTCCCTTAGCAAAGGTCTCCCGGAAGGACACAGCCTCTGTAATAAGCGCTGATGCCATCAAGAATCATAGCAGCCCAGTACAGCCCCAGCCTGCTCAGATCAAAACACAACCTGGTGCTGGAGACTCATTTGGTTAGTTTATAGCCTAGGAAAATCCTTCAAGTTTTAATTAACTGGCAGGACCTCTTGCTCCCTTAAATACTTGGGAAGTTCATTAAATGGAAGTAACTATTTTGAAATGGGTTACATGTCATAGCATGGAAAAAAAAGATAATCCCATTACATATGTTAAATTTATGTATTTATATCACAGCTTCAGTTAGTTTGTTCCCAGGTGGCTTTCAAGAAAATCAAATTATAAGAAATCCATCATAAAAACTGGTATAATATTTATTATTATAACTTTAAGTTAAAACAGGAGGTTATAATTAAAGTATTGAATTTTGGGGGGAGGGAATTAGAGTAGGACTTGGCAATTCTTTCTGGGAGGGAATTCTATAAACTGGACAATCTGCAAACACTACTGCCTCATTTCAGATCCTGGGGCACTGCAACTTCATCTCAGATCTTGGAGGCACTAACTCCTCATTTGAAATTTAGTGGGCACTGTCACCTTGTTTCAAATCCAAAGATGACTCTCCACAGATTATTTCAACATATTCAGTTTGATAAGGGAATTGCATTCCTTCTGGCACCTGGGTGTCAAGCCATTGTAAGGCTTTTAAGCTAAGCATCAACACTTTTAGATGTGTTTAGAATAGTGACAAGTGTGCTTTTTTTTAACACCACAAGTATATTAGTAATATATTCCCTACAGCCAATTTTGATTAGATACTTCACAGCTGTATTGTATCTTAATTGAAATTTCTGGGCAGTTTTTGGAAATTTATACAATAATAATTAAACTTGTATGCCGCCTGATTCTCAATGACTCTGGGCAGCTCACAATAATCAAACAAAGAAGTTACAATAAAATCGATAAAAGATAAAGATAAAAGATAGCAAACACGATGAAGCACGGGGTTTTACTCTCCCTCACCAAAAGCCTGGGTGAAGAGTCAGTAAATCCTTTGTTTGCTGGACTTCAGTTCAACAGTCTCTTGATGGAAATCTCTTTACTATCTTACACGTGCATAAAATCCCATTCTCATTTATGCATGCCTAAAATGTATATAATTAACAATATACATATAATGCATTATGCACTAACATCAATAAATAGAATGTGTTCTTCAAACAGGGTTTATTTGCACCTGTTAAGGAACTGGGTCCATCCCTCCCTTTAATATATTTTTATTAGACATTTTAGAGAAAATATATAAACAGAAAAGGAAAAAGAGCAAAAGAAAGGGACAGAAGAGTAAGCAAGGGATTTACAAATGTCACAGAGATTATAATTTTCCAGAATATAATTAATTGATTGTGAATAATGGAATATATTATATCATTTTAAAAGCTTGAACATTACTATTAAGCTCTAAGCAAAGCGTAAATATCAAGAACCGTAGTCAATACAGTATAAATCATAAAATGAAATTTGTGAACATTAAACTCAGTCCATACTACTAAAAGTCTGTTCTACTTTAGAAGTCCTATAAAATTACAATGTAGACTTTATTCAGTCCAGCAAAATACTAGTCATTGACCATATTTTATTAGTAAAAATTTATGCAGAGAAGAATCCAAATTTTGGATGTGGTACAAATCCATGTATTGAATTGTAATTGAAGAATGGTTTCCAGTTTGAATTAAATTCTGTGTCAGATTTACTTTTGAGGTACAAGGTTATTTTAGACATCGAGGCATGTTCCCACAATTTAGTTAAGCATTCAAGAACTGTTGAAGCATCTACAGTATTCCTAGTGTCTCCTTCTGTTTCTTACTCAGTGTATCACTGACTTCAGAGACTTATTTAGCATATCTGCTCACTTGAGAATCTGGTTACAAATTACACCGAAAACAGTCCTGGAGACTTGTAAAAACAGAATATAAATCCCTAAAATGCTGTTTTTCACTCTCAGTTTAGAAGATCTTTCCAGAAGACTATTGCATTAATAGTTGCTGAAGAGTTCCAGAAAAATTATCAGGGTCATTTTTCTGTCTTTCCTAACATCTATCATCCACCACACTGACCAGAGCAGAGTATTCTAGAAGCTGAAGACAGATGGGGCAAATGCACCGAGGTAGCTGAGGCTACAATCCCAACAGGCATTAGTGTGAACTAGCAGGTGTATATATAACTGGATCAAACAGGAAATTCCTTATAGTGTGGTAATCATATCCAGCAAGCTGAAACCTGTGCCTTCCTGTTCTATAATTTAGACTGATCTCTCCAAATCTGGTGAATTTCAGTTTTCCTGAACTTCAGTTCTTACAATCCCCAGCCAGTAATACGAAGGCTGAGTTCCACATGACTAGACGATACCAGATTGAGAGAGGTTGCCATAGATTCAGCTCCACAAGTAGGCATACAATCCATCCTGGTATGTCAGGTGAGCAGCTGGGCTTACACAGCATTTTTCCCTCCAGCATTTTGAATGAATATTCTGGTTGACATTTCTGCTTTGCCCCTGTGTATGCACCCTATGTCCTTAGATTGTTAACTCATTTACTGGTCTCGCATTGAATAATTTTAAAAGTTATTTCTTGAAAGAGAGGAGGAGAAAAACAGTTCTCCAAATGTGTCTGTAAGCAGGGGGTAGAGTTGCATGTAGACAATTTCCTGCTCTACTTTTTCTAAGGCATTTTTGTTTCTTGTTTTTCTATTCCCTGGTGTCTTGCCTTATGTTTGCAGCAGGTCTTGGTGACATCACACAGCAGCTGAATCAGAGTGAGCTGGCTGTCTTACTGAACTTGTTGCAGAGCCAGACAGACCTAAGTGTTCCACAGATGGCTCAGCTACTCAACATCCATTCAAACCCTGAGATGCAGCAACAGCTAGAGGCCCTTAACCAATCTATCAATGCACTCAATGAAGCCACCACCACTCAGCAACTGCAGGATTCTCAGAAAGTGCCTGAAGAGGAAACAGCTGTTGAGGAGCCACCCCCACCAGCCCAGCCCTCTGAGGAGCAAGCCACTCCAGAAGCGGCAAGCACTCAGGGAGACATGCAGAGCGTCCTGGCAGTTTTGCTGAGCCAGCTAATTAAAACCCAAGAGCCTGCAACAAACATGGAGGAGAATAGCAGTGAGAAGAACAGCGATCTGCGGGGGCCACGGAAAACCCCCACTTTGCCTCAGGAGGAAACTGCAGGTAAATAATTGTGACACCCCCTTGCTCCTAGGACTTAAGGGGGAAATTATATGGGTCTTTCCATGTGGTAAATAAAAAACACTTTGAATATTCTTTAACCAAGCCTGGTAGTCGTCTCTGAGTGTGTGTGGAATCTGGCGACAGCTTTGGGTTCCTGAAAATACTCGTCGTAAGATCTTGAGCAGGTTGCGTACCCTTGCCCCCAGTTCCTCTCACGTGAAAGAATTTTCAGGATGTAAGGTTGGGAAGCCTTGGCTTGTTCCACATTAGACTGAGAAATGATTGCTCAGATACCTTCTCACGTCAGTTTTCATACACGTGGAAGCTAGCATGGTACTGAGAAGGCTAGGTCATAGTCCTCCTCACTGCTGCCCTAGCTTTGTGCTTAGAAACCTTAAGTTTAGTCTTTAGATGTTAGAAGACTACAACTAAAACCTGCAGTTAATGTTATTCAAATTAAATATCTTTAAGCCCTTTATGAAGATGAACTTAAAATAGGTGCTGATCTGTGCTGAGGAAAGGAGTTCAAAAGAAGTCTGCTCTACTTATGAGAGGACACAGATTCTCCCACTGAGACTGAGCCCTGCCCCATCATCTCGCCCTTGTTATGGAAGAAACTACCAGTCTAAACTGAAGTAGAAATGCCAGATGCTTAGTCTGAACTAGGCTAATTTTGGTGGGGAGGGGGGGGGTCCATTCTTGTTCAGCTGTACTGGTTTGGGATATCAGCAGTACTCCAAGGTAACTATGGGGAGAATCCTTAAATTTTTACCAGAATGGAAATGAGCAGCATATTGCTTGGTCTCTCTTGTACAATTGGAGCAGTGTACATTTCTTACTTTTGGGTATTTCATATGGGTTTTGATTATGGGAAGGGCTACTGTATGTTCTACATGGAATTTTCTGTCTATATGATATTCTTCGTAGTGAAAATAATCTTTTCATTTGTTTAAAGGAGTCTATTTAGCCATTTTATTTGCAGAGATAGTATTTGAAAATACATGGGCCATGACTGCTGAAATTTTAGAAGATGAGAAGGAGGGACTCAGCACCATTTTTTCCAGTGGGGGCAACTTCAGTACCCTGCCTAGATCTTTGCAACTGACTGTGACTATCAGATGTATAATAAACAGTAAAAAACCAGAGAGATGTTTATCTTGTAACTGGGTCCCAGAATTTGGATTACTTTGATGCAGAAATTTGTTTTGCTTTTGTTTACCTTTTTAAAAAAGTTTTAAAGCACACACAGCAATTTCATACCTAGTACCGTTACCCTGACTCGCAGTGGCTCTCAAAGATCTCAGAAAGAGAATTTTTGAGTCCTGCAATATGAAATCCTTTTTATGTCTGATAAACTGGAAGTTCTTTTATTCAAAGAATGTGCTTTTCCCTAAGTTTGGCCACTTCCTATATATCTGTGTCTGAAATGTTTGATGTTTGTTCACATGTACTTATGAGATGGTGTTTAAAAGAAGTAACCATTCCACAGCCTGTCCTCACATTCTCCCACCAGAGAAGAGACCCCCTGAGCCTCCTGGACCACCACCGCTGCCACCACCCAATCTGGCTGAAGAGAACAACTCTAATGCAGCTCAGGAGTTGAACCCGGCTGTGACAGCCGCTCTCCTCCAACTTTTATCCCAGCAAGAGGCAGGGCTGCTGAGCCACCCAAAGCAGGAACCCCAAGTTGGGAGGTCCTCCTCGGAATACACCAGGTCACAAACTTCATCCAGGACTTACAGCACCGACGGGCCTGAGGGCTGCAACTTTGATGTTGATGAAAGGAATTCCAGCCAGACTTTAACAGAGACATCATCCCCAACCTTGGGGAAAAGTAGGACCTTCCTGGGTTCCACAAGTCACATCAGGGAGTCGAGCAGTTACCAGAGCGCAGGATCAGTTCAATTCCCTGGGGACCAGGACCTCCGTTTCACCCGAGTCCCCTTAGGGATACATTCTGCCGTTGGGCAGTCCTTCATCAAAACTGAGGGGAGTAACAATACACTGGTACACTCAGAGGCCAAAATTCATAACTACAATGAGGTGGGAGTAACAAATGCTCTTTCGAGTGACACAGGAACAAGCCACACGTGGGGAAACCCAATCCAGTCCACTGCTTATGGGAAAGCCTTTCGTGGGCAGAATAGAGTACCTCCCAGAGGAGGAAGAGGGGTACCTTACTAAAATGACTGAAGAGGTGGCATGGGGGGGCGGGGTTACCTTCCTATTCTCTTGACCTTAGAACAACTAGTTTGATGGGCAAACCATTGACCACCTACCATAGAAATGGTTTATTGTCAATACTTCCCCCCTTTTGCTCACCAGGCTGCTGCTGTCTCTTTCCCCTCAGGGGCTTTAGAGTGAAAATTCTTAAGCCTTCTTGTGACATCATTCCATCCCCAAAATCTACTGATTTGGGTTTGATGTGGTGAGTTTTGCTACATTGAGATGGGGGGAGGGGGAAAAGAAGGAAAGATTCCTTAAACAAAACAATAAATTGGAAACATGAATTGAATGTGCTTGCAAGACTTGAGCCATTATTTCTGACAGTGAGCCCACTGAAGATCTGGATGAGGTGAATCAGTGTCCTGGTCTATCCATGTCGCAGAATGAGGTCTTAGAATGAGCTGTACTGTTTCAGCTAGCAGGTGGAGGAATCCACATGTGGACCAAGAGACAGAAATTTGTTCTCTTGCTGGTAGAAATTTCAGATTGTGGGGAGAGATGCTAGGCCAGCCTTCCCTTGGCTGTATTAATTTTCTTCCTAGAGGCAAGACTGTGCCTTTATGGGAAGAAGAGCATTCAAAAAGTGCAGTTCAGCACCATCAGTCATGCAGCCAGCTCATTCTACGGCTCATGTAGATCTAATCTCAGTATTGCAAAGTCCATACATGTTTTGTTTTTCCCTTTCTTGAATTTCAAGATTTGTCAGATGGTGCCTACATGCCTTTTATACTGAATTAGGAGAACTTTGTTTATGTTATGTAAGTCGGGATATTTTCCCCCTTCTTAGTTATAGTTCCTTTACGTGAAAAGGCAGGATGCTACATTCTTCCAAGGGTAAGCTGTTCCCTGGTTTACTGTGAAAAGCCCTGTGCTGTTATACTCACCTTTCAGACCTTAGCTGAATTAAGTTTCTGTAGTGTCCATGGGTCCACTGACTTGTGGATGGAATTAATTTCTTTTTTAATTTTCTCTCTTAAGAATGGCAAGTGTCTTTTTGTTGAAGTTCATACAGCCTGAGTGAATGGCTAAAATAAAATAAAAACCAAAAACTTTGTAATTCTTAAATTCTTGGGGTGGAGGGTATTTAATACTCAAGTGAAGGAAACCTGAATAAGTTTATTTTTCTCAGTCTTTAAAAGATAATAAGTGTTGCTATCTCTTATATGATAAAACACTGTTTTCAGTGTTGGAGAAGATTTTTTGCATCATTCCTCGATAAAATGAGGGTACTTATTTATTTTTAATTGTTCTATTTTTATTTTTTGTTTTGGTAGTTTCACTCATCCTGATTAATTTTTAATTTTAATGTTTTGCTCCCTTTCCCCCCATGTAGATCTTTGTGAAAAATTTCACTGGAGACTGTATTATGCTGCAAGATTTCAAAATGCAGAATTACGGAGAGACATAATTTCTTAGTAATATATCTCCACCTCCCCCCAACCCCAATTCTTTTAAATTGACAGTTTTCAAAGGGAGAAGCATGCCAGAAATTGAGGAGCAAAGGGAATTTTGACAGTTGCTATAAATCATTCATGAATAAAAATTGGACTTTTAACTGCTTTCATATTATAGAGAAGAAAAGCTGCATTATTTGGGGAAGCACACTGCTGCTGACTGGAGAAAAAAAAAATGCCTTAAACATAATGAGGGAGTGATGTCATAATTGGAAGTTGAAACAAAGGGAGGAGGGGGAATCAAGTATAATAATGTGCCACCTTATATTAGAAAAATACTGTTTTTCTCCGTTCTGCAAAGTGTAGAAAGTTTGCAAAATTCAAAATGTAAATTTCATGTGTACTTTTCAACTGAATCTTCAGTTCATACTTAATGTGCAAAAAAAAAAAAAAAGTATTATATGTGTAGAGTATGGCAAATAAAAGGGAGGGTTTTCTCTCTCTGATCCCCCCTCCTTTATTATGTATTTTTCCTGATGTTTTTTATCTTAGCAAGCTTAAGCTGTCCTGGTGCCCCAGCTATGTCTTTGCTGTTTTCCATCCTTCCATATTCTCTCCATCCTTCCTCTTGGCAAAGGACAGAATTATTATCATTCAGCCATGTGGGCATTCATTTTCTCTTGTATTCACCTGAAAGAATTTGACCATTCCAGATTCAACCACCAGCTTTACGAGTTTTTTTTCCCACCATTGGAAGACCTGAAAGACCAGGCTAAGGACAGATTGTCATGGAGAAAATCTGTGTGGTGGCTAAGAGTCGACACCGACTTGATGGCATGTAATCAAACTCTACAGACCAGAATTATGCAGCATTTTGGATCCCAAAGCAAATAGGTGCTTCGGAATGCATGGGGACACTCCTATAGCGTTGACTCCTACCCCTTAAAATAACTTTTTTTCCCCCCTGAGGTCTTGCCACTGCCCTCTAGAGCATGATCCTGGAAAACATGTGTTTAGTTCAAGGACTGCTGCCACATGTGCACACTTATGCATCCCAAAGCACTTTTTTGCCTTTGAATCAGAAGCACTGCACAACCCTACTATAGATCACTTTTCTTCAGATGAAGAATTTGCTGTTGCAAATTGATTCAGAGGACATTTTTTTCTTCTCTTCTAGTAGGGAGTCTTTTCACCTCCCTCTCTTCTCCATGCTTAGTCCTTTGCAGACCAGGCTCATAGACTTTGCAGAATACCAGTACCTACTTTGGTACATTGAATGAAATAAGGTATTGCTTTGAATTTTAGTGCAATTAAGGGTACATTGGGAGGGAGTTGAGAAGCCTTTCTCTGATCTTAGTCCTAGAATTCTCAACAACTATTCTAGCGGTTTTTATACATGGTTGTTTACTTGTTCTTTTTTAAAATCATCATCATCGAACCATGTTAACATTTCTGAATTAGTGCTATTCAATTGAGACATACATTGAGTTCACCTAGGACCACTGTTTTATTCCACACCCCACCTGCCCCTTTTTATAGGATGGTGTCCTGATCTTGATTGCCATGGTTTCTCTTAAGGGTGCTCTCTGTACTCTTAAGGAATCATAATATCGAATTAACTTTGGTGAAACTGAGGGAACTTCTTTTGAAAAGGCTACTAAGCCATTAAGAGGTAGAAGAAAATATAAATATCATTTGGGCCAACCTTTGGAAAAGGAAAAAGGGCAAATATTAAATATTTTGATTGGCCTAAATCCCTGATTTGGAATTTCAGATGTTACTTGCTTGCAAGTAATTACTCACATATCTGAAAGACCCATCACACACTAAGTAGCTTAGTTCTCTGGATGTAGTACTTTTCAAAATAGTTGGAAAGTTGACACATACATACCTTTTGACAAAATAATATGGTGGAATACATCTAGTAAAATAGTAGATTTTGTGTATCAGAGCTGGAGACGTCTACTGTCTGTTACAGCCTCAGAACAACAGTGCTCATGTAACAACATTAGCTTTTCTTGTCAAGTACATTAGCAATGGCACCCTCAGGGATCATTGCAAAACTCTTTAATTACAAAATTTTCTACAAAACACCAAAAAATCTAGCAATTCATGCTAATACCAGTTTAGTATGTTTAAGACCATATCTATTCTTGGGTGTTGGGAAAGCACATTGAAAATCTTGCAGTTGCTGCCTGCAAAATTCTGGTGTACAAACATGAGAGAGGACTTTTGTTCTATCTGTAATCTCTCAAGTTCATTGAAGGTTTTGATCAGTGACAACAGGCAGGTCTTCCCTGAAGGACAGTTCGTTCACTGATCTTTCCTATGCCATATATAGATATAGGCAAGTAATAGATTGTTTTCCAACTCTGTGTGAAGCAAATGCAGGACACAGATCTGGACAATACCAAGTGTTAACAGCATTTTGAGATCTTAAAAATATATTGTGCTCATCCGAGAAAGGATTGCTCAAAGATGTAAAATGGGAGGGGGGGAACAAAATTGAAAAACATGCTGCAGGTCTGTGCCTCTGTGAATTGTTCATTTTTAATTCTATTTGTAAGCCTATATGATCCATCACTTACCTGTGACTCATACTATTACAGTGCTAGAAATACATAACGAAATTTGTAAAAAAAAAAAAAAAAGGTTCAAGAGTAAAGAACACAAACTGAGAAATTCCAAGCTACACCAAGGCCCTGATCCTGTTTAAATAGTTCAGTGGTGGTTGGTAAATTGCCTATACTAGGGAATGTACAACACTACAATTTCAGTGTTATAAAGTGTCTCTGCAACTCATGCACAGAGCTGTGTGTGTGCTGTACATTTATAAAAATTAATTTCTGCACTGAAGAAAGGTAAATTTAGAGATGGTCTAAATCATACAGTTGAAACAGTATTGGCATATTTTATTTTTCATTATTTACAATTGTGTGGTTCCTGTTTTGCTAGTCATAAGAGAAGAACAAGGAGACGGCATTTGGTTCCCTTTCCTAATTACTGGAAACTTTGTTCAAGCCTTTCAAAATGTCAAGCTATGCCCACCTCTCATACATTTAAAGTCATTATTTTAAAAATCACTAAAAGGGGAGAAAAGAAAATGAAAAGGGGAGGGGGGAGTTTGACATAGAATAAGTTCTGTGTGTATTCATTCTTAAATTATATCTTGCATGTAGAAAAGTGGGCTGTCTTTATTTGCTAAGAATTCATAAATTCATCAGTTCTGACAACCTCCAAATGATACAGTGCAATCATATACATATTTGTGCAGAAACCACATTGCATTTAATAGAATTCCAGCCTTTGATCTTGATTAATGCTACAGGTTTGTGAATGCTTGCTTACAATTAACATTTTAGCAGCAGTTAATAAACTGCAAACTAATTCATAATATTAAATTCAAAATGTCTCCATTGAAGTACCAAAGCAAAATATTCAGAAGATTGAAATGCAGAAGTTAATTAATCCAGCTATTTGCATATATGGTATTTCCTTTTGCAACCACAAGGACTAGGAACATGCTTTTTTTAATGAATGAAAAACAGTTTCAAGAAGTGCAAATCTGCATACATGACTTTAATTCCAGGGAAAGCCCTTCCTGTATCTTTCACATCATGTCACTACTGTACATTGATACTCATTTGCTGGTAGAACAGCATCCTGCTGTCGCTGCTTCAATATTGGGTCATTGTGCCAATTAATATATATTTCATAAGCAAAATTTTAATTCAAATTTCCTGCTATCAAATTTGTGCTTCCTTGGTTCAGTGTAAAGAATGCTATATGCTGTACATTTTTGTATGCTATACTTTTCTGAATGGTCTTCCTTTAAACAATATTTCATTTTTAACCCTCAAATTTCCATGACATATACCACAAGCACACACACACACGCTTGTATATATGGATATCTCTATGTAGATATATAAACATGCAAACATAAATGTAAACAACAGAATATCATTTGTCCTTTGAAATTTTATGAAATTTTATGTAGAATTTTTTTAAACAGGAAATTGGCAGTATAGGGAGCCTTCCATGGGCTTGGCTAACATCAATGAGTTATCCGTCATTTATAGATTTGAACTGCAAAACTAATATTGCTGTAATGAGGACTACAGAGCACATTACCAACATCTGGCATCAAATAACAAAAGATTAACCAGTGTTCCTCTTTTTGAGTACTCATTACAACATTAACAACAATTAGACTTCTTTCTTCTCCCATTTGGTAGGACTTCTACTCAACTCCCCCTAAGAAGATTGCTCCCATATTTCTGTTTCTTGTCTTTCCTGCACAGGTGCATGTGATTAAAATATGCTTGTTTCTTCTCACAGAACTGGAATAATTCACTCCTCGTGGGTGAAAGTAGGAACTATTTGGTGGTAGTGGTGATGGCAGTGGTATGTGTGCTTGTGTGTGTGCTATGTGCCCATTTTTCTTGCACTGTGCTATGGTGACAGTATGATAGTACACTCATACATTTAATCTCCAACCAAATGTCCATGGGAAAATCCACATTTCCATACAGAACAGGACCCAGTTTTAAAACAACATACAGGGTCATCTCCACAATCTATCATACATGGATGAAAAAATCATGTTTATATGTCCTTCACATTTTTATTTAGTCAGTTTCCATCTTGACAGC